TCCTGCATTGCAGTTTCATAATTTAACTGGCAAAACCGATCTGCGCTTTCACGGCACATCAGAAAGTGCCGTGATGCTAATTCTAAAAAATCTAAATAGGCGCTTATTTTAATTAGGGACTGTATAATAATATAATCCTTGGTTGTCACTACACGTTGTAAACACTAGAATGTGTTATAAGCAAGGAAGCCTCATAAACAGCAAACAATATTGTATGCTTTTAAATTTTAATTTATCGTTACAGTAGTAGTGGTAAGTATTGTTGCAACTAGGTTGCAAACTGGGGAAAGGATCTAAGGTTTTCAAAAGCACATACGATGAGGATACAGTGGACCTCATAAATGCTGAGTAGCCACACCTGCTAATAATTTTTAGAAATCAGATGTGATTGTTTAAACCTATAAAATTAGGCAACCAAAACAAGTGATTATTCTGGAAATAGTTTCAGTGACCTCTCCTCACAAAATAGTGGTAAAATTGGAACTCAGATTTGGGAAGACCTGTATACGTGGATATATTCTGATTGTTATACACACAAATTGGCAAATCTGTATTTTTAAGAAGCAAGTTTATATAGCTCAAACAAATTTCTCCTATGAAATTTCACATTGGTTCAATTATTCAACAAATTCAGCAAATTCTTGTTCTCTGAGCTTTCACAGTGCTTTTCCTAAATCAAAATTAAAGACTCTTTCTAGTTTTAAAGGAACAAAATCCCTCCCACAATCTAAGAGCCTTAACAGACACAAGTTTCTTCTGCTGTCCTGCAAAAGGAAGGATCTTGTACATCCTTCCTTTATGTGCTTACACTTATATTTTCCAAGCTGCCAAACCAGATGGGAAGAACAAAATTCTGTGTCTTAAACCCCTGATGTAACTCGTTAACTCAGTGGAAGGAGAACATGAAGGGGATGAGCCATAAAATAAAATAACTTCATTGGGAGCACTTGCCTGACTGTGGTAGCCAAATATATATTTTAGTGGTGCCTGGTGAACAAAGCAACAGCTGGTGGGGTTCTGGAGAAGTCCTTATATCTCTGTAGTTGAACTTAAGGATGGAACACACAGACATTGCACTGGCACAAGGCGATAATTTTGCGAGTAGAGAAACATACTGTTCTTTTCTTTTTGACCATCTGGTGTGATAACTTCTTTCTGGAGTGTTCATTGACAGGCAGAGACAATTCAACTGAGCAATAGGAAAAAGGATGGGATAATTGCCATGAATGCGTATATCAGTCAATAATAGAGAGGAACTTTTATTTGTAAAAGAATGCTGGGTAGCATGTAGATAATTGTTGATCTTCAATTATAGAGTCCCTTTAATTTCCAACAGATTTAAAGATCACAAACAACTGCCCTATAAAAAGAAGGGGGGAAAAAACGATCCTACTTGGCAACAATGAGGTGAGTCGCGAGGCTTTTTAGATTAAAATAATTTACATTCACGTTTTCAAGCATGGTATTTGCACTTGGAAAAGAAGGATTAAAAAACACTCTCAAATTGTAATTGTTTAGCTGTCCTGGATCACTGAATTTGATCAGAATTCCCTGCTGAAAACCTAGAAATTACTAACATGAGTAATATGTATAGATGAGTAACTACTTAGTAGCAAGCTTAGAGCATTCATCTTGCATTCAATTCATACTAATCTTACAAGTGAAGGAGGAGAAAAGGAAACTGTATGAAGTTTAACAAATACAAGTGCTGGATTCTGCAGCTGGGACAGGGCAACCCTGGATATAAGACTGGGGAATCAGAGGCTGGAAAGCAGTGCCATGGAAAGGGACCTGGGGGTCCTGGTTCATGGCAAGTTGAACATGAGTCAGCAGTGCCCTGGCAGCCAGGAGGGCCAGCCCTGTCCTGGGGGGCATCAGGCAAAGCATGGCCAGACGATTGAGGGAGGGGATTGTCCATCTCTGCTCTGCACTGGGGCGGCCTCACCTCCAGGTGGTCCCCTGCAGCTATATATGAATATAAGAATTAATGTAAGAATACAATAAAAGAAGGATATAAAGCTATTAGAGAGCATCCAAAGGAGACCTACAAAGATGGTGAAGGGCCTTGAGGGGAAGCTGTATGAGGAGCTCTTGAGGAAGCATCTTCTCTCCCTTTTGCTTCCCAGCTAAAGTAGAGCTCCTGCAGTGCTGAAAATACTGAATCAGTACAAATTTGCTTTCTAATTTCAGCTGGATAGGTTTGATGAAATATATCTATGTTCAGTCAAAAACACAGTACTGAGAAAATAAGAAACAATTAACAATCTGAAGAATTATTCTGGATTAATTTTCACAAAAAAATGAAATTCAAAGTTAACAAAAATGTGAAAAGCAAGTAAACATAGAAACAGAGTACCAGAAGTATCTGTCTTGACAGTAATTGGCCAAAATCCTAAAATCCTCCTTATTTATTTACTTGAACCAAAATCTGCTTAATATTGTGGGCATTCTGCTCATTAACATGGATTTAATGACTTTTCCTTTCTTGTTACTTGTTTTGAAGGTATTTTCACTTCTGTAAGCTTCCAGGAAGAGTTATGGGAATCCGCCTACTCCGCTTCACCTCTGTGGTGATCATCGTCTTACTTCTTGTGGCAGGTGCTTTAACAGCTTTGCTTCCCAACATCAAAGATGACAAATTGCCCAATTTGAGAAGGGAACCAAAACCCCAGAGTCAGTCTGCCTTGGATTCATTTACTCTTATTATGCAGACATATAATAGAACTGACTTACTGCTAAAGCTCTTAAATCATTATCAAGCCATCCCCAACCTACATAAAGTAATTGTTGTGTGGAACAACATTGGTGAGAAGACACCAGAGGAGATGTGGAATTCCTTGGGGCCTCATCCTGTCCCTGTTGTCTTTAAAGTTCAAAGTGTAAATCGCATGAGAAACAGGCTGCAGAATTTCCCTGAGCTGGAAACAAAAGGTAATCAGCAGTTCATATCACTACTACTCATATTATTTTCATGCTTAAAATCTGAATGCTAAAAGAGAGATGGTTTGAGTTGTACTATGTAATAAATCCGTGGATGTGCTGGGTCACTTAGAATGTGGGTAGTATAGAGGAAACCGATGTTCTGATGTCAGATGCACACCACCAACAGGCTGTCAGTGAAGAGTAAGGAAAAAGAAGAGGGATGTCAAAGTATTTCATGGGCTTTTGCAACTGTTCCCCATTTCCTTTGTCAGGCAGACATAGGTAGTTCAGCCTCTCTTCCTTTTGTAGCATAAACTGAAATTCATAATGCATGTATTTGTTGAGTGTGTGCACTAATCTGGACTTAAGTCATCTGGTAAAGACTTGATTTAATCCATTCTTTTAAGACTGAGTTCTCAAGCATGTTCTGCTCTTCTGAGAAACCTCCCTCCCTAGCTGTCTGGCTTTTTATCTCAAATTATACATCCCTTTTAAGAGTATTTTCCCCAGTCTTTTGGCTATTCATCTAAATATTCTTCCTAAGCTCTTTCCAGGAGGTGTACAACAATAAGTCCTGTTTGTTTCAAGTGGAAAAAAACCCCATATGTTGCATTACAGACCTGACCTTACTCATGATTAGTAAAGGTAATTCTATTTACTGCCCCCTTCCTAACATGCCTTGCTACTCCAAACCCACGATTTCTAGGAAGACATTAGAAATTTCAACTTCCCAAGTGTTTTATTTACTGTAATAGGATTTGTGCCTACTGTAAATTTAAAAAGCTTTAATGCATCTGGAGTTCCAAGAATATCCTTCCTTTTCCACTTCCTGATAGTCTTTTGTCTAAAATTCAAGGCAAAGAGTCTTCCTTCTATAGTTAATCATATTGAATGTTGCCTGTGCAATTTATTTAATTGCTTACTTAGAACTTTCAAGTAGTGAGATGAGTAAAATTTTACTCTAAGAATCCTTTATAAGGCTCACATGCTAAAGAAAGGTATCTAACTATTTTAGTTGTATCTTTACACAAGATAGTAGAATTTTAAGCTGCTTTGCCAAACACTCCCAAGTTTTCCAACACATACCTCTCCAGCTGTACTACAGATGATCAAAAGTTGCTGGGTTTTGTTCCAGCCTGGCAAATAATCTAAAACTTAGGTTTGCTTCCAGCTACCACAAAGCTGCAACCTTGCTTTAGCTTTGAAATATAGTTGTGTTTTCTCAATCTACTTTCAGGGAGTTGTAATTCAGCTTAATGGTTATAGTAATTCAGCTTAATGGTTATAGAAATTTCACATTTAATTTGTCAAATACTGTGCTGCGTACTGTGCTCGTGTATTTAATCTTTTGATAAATTAAAAGTTTTTCTTTTTTTTTCCTCCCTTCAGCTGTTTTAATGATGGATGATGACACTCTAGTCAGTGCTCATGACCTTGCTTTTGCCTTTTCTGTTTGGCAGGTAATATTTTGCATCTTGGCCGGCAGTATTTGTGACTTACAATTGAGATTAATGGGTTTATTTGGAGTAATACTGTATCATAATGTTTGACCATTGGTTCTCTAACTGTAAAGTTAGATTTTGGAAGGACTGAAGTATTGAATAGTATAAATTACAAAAATAATCTTCTGTAGTAGCTGTACCTGTAATCTATAACTTTAAAATTGTAACTCTTCCTTACGAAAACATGAAGGTGCTAACTGCTGAATTTATTTACATTTATTGTAGTATAGTAGTTTGTTAAACAAAAGTGTTACGCTTTGCAAAACAAGATAAAATGTCTGTAAAGTTATTTTCAGTGCCAAATACACAGCTGCAATTTGTGGAAAGATGTTTCTTGGCACTGCATGATGTGGAATGAGGCATACTGTGTCAGTTTTGTGAAACTGTATTTAATTGCAACATTTATGCAGATCAAAGGACCATATGTCAACAATTTAATTATTTCCTGGCAATAATCTTGTGCTCCTCTCATTTAAAAAATGCATAAATCTCTCTTATGAATGTACTTAACACACATTTCACAGTGAGGGGTTCACTTTGATTTCTTTTAAATTTCTTTTTTCTTTCAGCAATTTCCAGAGCATATAGTGGGATTTGTTCCTAGAAAGCACATTTCTACTCCTTCAGGCGTATACAGTTATGGTAGCTTTGAATTGCAGAACCCTGGATTTGGAAATGGAGATCAGTATTCTATGGTTCTTATTGGTGCAGCATTTTTTCACAGTGGATATTTAGAAGACTTTCAACGACAGCCAGAAGCAGTTTATGCCTTAATAGATGAAACTCAAAATTGTGATGATATTGCCATGAATTTTCTGGTAGCCAAGCATACTGGAAAGCCTTCAGGAGTGTTTGTGAAGCCTGTTGATATAAGAAATTTAGAAAAAGACACTAACAGTGGCTATTCGGGAATGTGGCACCGAGCAGAGCATTTGTTACAGAGATCCTACTGTGTAAATAAACTGGTTAATATTTATGATGGCATGCCCTTAAAATATTCTAATATCATGATTTCTCAGTTTGGTTTTCCTAATTATGCAAATCACAAAAATAAAATGTAAGCCAATGAATTTAAGGTGTTAAATGTTAAACTGTACTCAGTAAACTCCACTGAGTTCAAGGAGAGAATATGGTGTAATTACTGCATCTTGGCCATCCCTCTGTGTAGCCTCTGATTTTTCTCCATTGGGCTTTTGGGCTTTTTATGTGTTTTTTTTTTCCTTTCTAACTAATTCACCAAGGTAAGTTTTCTAAAAACTTAATATATAACAATGTTTAGCTGTGATAAAATCATCCTCTTTCCTTAAAATCTGAAAAGCTACTATACTTATTAGGCCAATTCTTTAGAAACATGCAGTCAAAAATGCACTCCCACCCTTCAGATCTTACATTTTGATTTTTTTTTCTTGAATAAACGTATCTAGTCTAATGAGACCTAGGCATATTTTTGACGGTTATATGTTGAGATGCTTCCTTGCCTTCCCTCTCCTCACCTCCTTCTGTTCCCAGTGAAACTGTAAAAGAGCTACAGTGAACTGCTGGCCAGGCTTCCACACTCCTGTACAAAACCCCTTTGAAGTTTGTATATAAGCTGTTCGGTGTCCTGAGATGTTCTGAAGCTGCTATGAAAGCAAGAAGAGTACCTCACCTTAATCTCAGATAGCCCTAAAACCATTGCCTACCATATCTATTCCTGCTGAGATAGTGGAAAATGATCTGTGATGTGGCTTTTTTTCCTATTATTGATTTGCCTAGAGTTGCTGAAACACTGCAAGCAGCTGAAAGGTAAATCCTAGCAGTTGGAAATGTAAGAAACATGAATACATGAAATATGACACTTACATAAGCAGTCAAAGAAATGGATGGGATGTTATTTATTAATACTCTCTTTAGTACATAGTTTTATTTTGATATTTTGCATTTACATTGATACAAAAATGTGCCCAGGAAAATCCTCACTTGTTAAAAATGTCTTATTTACAATTCCTAGTGAGAGCAAGCTGTTCTGCATTTATTACAGTGTACATTTTGTAATTGTACAGATCTGTTGTTTTTTTTAACTACTCTTTCAAATGCGTATTTACTTTCTAGTTCCTTCTCTGGTTTTGGTGACTATGACAACAGAATTAAAATGTGCAATGAATGGGTAAAGCATTAGGAAAAAAAAGTATTTTACACTACAGTAATATTTAACAGGGATGGACTGTTATCTCTGAATTCCCTGGCTTCATTTGTAGCAAGAAACAGAGCTGCTGTCAATAGCTTTTGTTAAACTGGGGCTCTGTAGTTCTGGAAACCTTGTGTTAACATAGACAGGACAAACCTTTTCCATTGCATTTGCAGAAGGGTTGGGGTTTTTTGTTGGGTTTTTTTGTTTGTGGTTTTTTTTTTTTATGGTATGGAAGAAAGAACAAAAGACACTGATTTTCCTGGACCATAGAATCAGATTTGGTATCCAAAGCACATTTAGTTTCATCTGCATCAGCTTTTAATTGATTCTTAGTATAAGTTCAAGGGTATCTGTGGGCAACCATTAACAGCTAATACCTGGTAAACAAATAGCATCTGCACAAAAAATGTATAATTTTATCATTTTTTGTAATACATTAGCTGAACAAAAAGTGATTGAAGAATGTGACAAGTTTTTTACAGCAGGGTGTGAGTCTTCGGGGGAACACAGGATTCTTTTGCCGTGTTCTATCAGTGCTAAAGGATTTGATTTCTGTTCAGTGAAGTCTTCCTAGTACTTTTGTAAGACTTAAAGGGCAAAATCTTAACATGGCATTGTAAAGTCTGCTTAATTTTGTTGTACTAGTGAAAAGTAGTTTTTAATTATTGTGTTGTAGTGCTTAGTAGTATACAAACAGGTCTATCATCTTTCCAGAAATGCAACTTTCCCAGTTGTAGTTTACTGTATTTCATTTACTTACTGGTCTTCCGTAATTTCTGTTCTGTGCAGTATCAGCTAGAATTGTGAAGACTCACAGTTGTTGTTTATCTTATTTTTAAAATGTGAAACAAACTGTCAGCTCAGCCAAATCTTAGTATTGGGCTCTGTGTTGGATGGAAGGAGTTGTTTTGATTTGTTCTGGGTTTTTTTTGTTCTTCTGTATCAGTGAAAAAATTAATAGAACAAGCTTTTAATGATATTGTTAAATTTAATTTGTACCATTGTCAAATAAAATACAGAAAGCAGATTTGTGATGATTTTCAGATTATTTACCAAAATTTTCAATGTTAAGATGTCTAAAGTAAGCTCACAGTTTGCATACAGATGAGCAGCACCAAGATGTCTTTTTTTAAAAAACGTGTACTTGTTGCCACATACACTCATTTAATTTAGGTAAGGCCCACTTGTGAGGGAAGAAAAGACATCAAAAAGACACAGCCTTAAGCAGTTAGTCTTAGATAGGAAAGAAAATTCAAAGGTAAGACTTCAGCTCCAGTCATAATTCATTTTGTTTGGGAACCAAAAGGGTTTTGTTTGCTTATTTTTTAAAGGCTGATTTTTATCCTTTGGTGATTATAAAAGTGCTTTGGGATTCTTTAGTGAAAAACATAATAATATGCATGTGATTATTTCTTCTAAGATATTACTTAGATGTCATTTGTTAATATTTTGGAGTCTAAACAGATTCATCACCACCTCTGCATGTTCTGTAGAAATTAGTGCTTATGCAACATAAAGTTTTAAAATACCTGACAGATAAATCCTAGTTGAAAAAGTCAGGATATTAGTGTTCAAATACTGTAACAGGACTACGAGAAAATGGCTTCTTTACCAAAAAATGCCACAAGATGTCACTGTAGCCTTGATATTTGATATCATATGTTAAAACGAGTAATTAGAATTGATTATAAAAAGTTGTACTGGTTGAAAACATTCTTAAGGGTAGGATTTTACAAGGAAGAATTAGTTAAATTATCATAGTAAAAACTACAAGATGCAATACTGAAATTGAAAAAACTTGGTTATTCTGTACATATTTTTACAGGGAAGAAAAGAAAGATCAGTTTAAATATTTCCGATGCTTACAAAGGCTGTTGCTAATTGCCACAAATGAGAACTTCTATGCAATGAAAATAGTATTTGTAATTTTGCAAAAGGTGTATAAGCAGTATGCAAACATTTGACAGCAGGGCTTCTGTTTCTTCAGTTCCTAGATTGAGCGTCCAGCTAGATGGGTTTACATATAATAGGCTTCAACACAAACAGTTTCTAAGGATTCTGGATTCCAGATAGCAGATGGTTCCACTGCTCAATCTTTGCTTCTGTTGCCAAAGAAAGTATTCTTAAGACTATTTTGAGTATGCTCATTCAAACTCCCCTTAAGTGCAGCATAGACTTAGAAATGTTACCTGGAACTGTAGTGAAAGTTTGAGTCAAAAAGGGTGTTATAAAAAGTATGGTTCTGGAGATAATACCTTACTACCTCTTTTCTTACAGGTTAGGCTATGGTACCCCTTAGACAATTGCCTGTAAGAAAAAAAAAAAATTAATTAATGGTTAAATACAAGTGAAAGTTGTATAGAAAGGACTTTCCTATATAAGGAAAAATAAACCCATTGATTTCCATGAAAAGTAAATACCTTCCACCACCAACCTTTATTTAATGTGCTGTTACAGCTATAGTCTCATTCATGTAAGCATCTTGTACGGAACAGTACTGAGAATGGTATTTCTGATTAGGTTCACAGGATCAGGTCCAAACAAATTCATATTTAGGAATATTAGCTCTGGAACTTTAAAAAAAAATAAAGCAATGTAAGAACACAGGTATAAATTATTAGAACCAAGACAAAAAATAAATAAGCAACTACACAACAAGTTGCACTAGAGAAGTGTTTTGTGTAGTACTTCACCTTATTTGTAAAGCTTTAAAGATTATCCAGTGCTTATGACACTAGAATAAAAACGGAGAAGTGTTGCACACGCATGTTTAGTCTCATTTGCAGACACGCTGGGATTAATTATCTGAACTGGTAGTTACAGTAGGTTATTTATAGTGTTTGGGAAAGATGGTGATAATAATGTTAACCTCAGGGCTGCATATGGCTTTGTATTACAACATCTTTTTAAGGTGTTTCAAGGGGCGGGCGGGGGTGTTTGGGCGAAGAATAACTCTTTTTCTCTTTTTTTTTTTCCTCCTCGAGTTCTCTCTTCTTTGCAACTTTTTGCTTTCGTTGTAAATATGAGACGGACTGTCTGCCTTGTTCGGCACTTACCAATTCTTTCTAAAGAGGAGCGTGGCAGAAGAACGCGCCCACAGCTCGAGCCAGCGCTTTAGGAAAGCTCTTTCCATCCGCAAGCGCCTTCCCGACCCCGCTGCCCCGGGCTCATGCCCCCGCCCGGCCCGGACCCCGCCTCAGGAAGGCAGCACCAACCCCCGCCCGCGGGCGGCCGTGGGCGGGACGCTTCCCCGGGCAGCGCTCGCTCATTGGCTGGAGGCCGCAGAAAGGGCGGGCCTTGATTGGCGAGCGGGCCTGTCGTCACGGTGAAGTGGTGCCACCAGGTAGGGCAGCGAGAGCTGCGCGGTTCCCACGTGCTCGGCTCCCCCAGAGCCGCTTCGTGCCGCCCCGCCCGCCACCCGCCGGAGCCCGCCCGAGCTGCTGAGGCGCCTCCGGCCCAAGCGCCGCTCCGCCGCCGAGCTGCACCTCGCAACCCGCCCTGTCCCCGCGGGGCCGCTGTGCCACGGGCCGCCCCCGGGCGGGGAAAGCAGCGAGCCAGCTCAGCGGGGCGCGGCGGCGGCGCCGGGCGGTGGGCCGGCAGGGCAGGCGGGGCGGAGGCGGGGCACGCGCCGTGGCGTCAGAGGTGCCTGCCTGGCGGAGCAGGGGGCGCTGCCGGGCCGGGGGGCGAGCGCGGGGGGCCGGTCATCTCAGCGTCACCTGGCGCGGGCGAGACAAAGGCTCGTAACGCGTTTGCCAGAGCGCCGCCGGTCGCTTGTAAACCGCCCGCTGGCCTGCTTTATCCGGGGGCGTCTCCCCGCTGGTGGCGGGGTGTGAGCTGGAGTCCTTGTGGGCGCTCGCTCCGCCGTGTCCGCGGGGCTCGTTCTCGGCTTCCGCCTCCGCTCTATGCGGCTTGCGGCCTGCCGCGCTCGCAGCACCGTGGGCCCCGCGGGCAGCCCCTCCGGCAGCGGGTCGGGTCCCAGCGAGCGCGGGTCCCAGCGAGCGCGCCCCGGCCCCGCCGGCGCTGCCCGAGAGCGCCATGAGCTCGGAGCCGCCCCGCGCCTCGCTGCTCCGCGCCCTGTTTAAGATGGAGGCCGCCGGCGGCTGCCTCCGAAGGTGCTGGGGGGCAGCCTCGGAGTTCGTAAAGGTGAGAGCGGTGGCGGCAGCCGCCCTGTCCCCTGCCCGCGGGTTTGGCGGGTTTCCCAGGCTTCCCCTCAGAGAGGACACCCCGCTGCTTCCCGCCTCCCGTATCCCGCTTTGCTGCGTGCTCGCGCCCCTTTCCTGGCGGCTCGGCGAGCTGCCCGCCCCCGGTTGCCGCGGCCACACTTCGGCGGTCCTGCCCCCGCTCCCCGGCGGGGAGGGCGGGGCCCGGCACCTGTTGCTGGTGTGCCGGTGTGCCCGGCGGTCAGAGCTCCCCCGCCCGCGGGGGCCGCTGCCGAAGTGCCGGGGGGGCCCTGCAGGGCAGGGCCCGCGGGCGGAGCGGTCCGGGCGCTCCCGCCGCCGCTCACGCAGCAGAAAAAGGAGCGGCGGAGCCTCTTCCGCCCCGGGCCGCGGGGTGACAGGCGTGCCCCGGGCAGCCGGCGGGGCATTGCCCGCACCGACCGACGCTCTGCCCTAATCTGTCTTTCAGATCGGTTGTACTTCGCTACTTTACGAAATAAACCGAAAAGTACCGTAAATACCCACTACTTTTGTACGGATGAGGAACTGGTCTATGAAAAGTAAGTGTTGTGATCTGTTACGTTTTGCATATTCAAAGTGATCACCTGAGGGTCTTCCCAACACACTTTGATACTGTGTAGAATATTTTTGCCCCATTTAGTTACTTGCACAGAACATGAGTATAAAGTTATCCGGAATATATTTATATATTAGCTGAAACTAGTTTAACAAGATTACTGCTATAAAAAAGACCCAGAAAAACAGCTGCAAGGCTTAAATTGTAGTTGAACTAGGAGAAGGGTATCTGAACCTTGTAAGATTTGTTTAAAACATGGAGAAGATCTCTAATTACATTTTATTAAATGGTGACTTAAATAGAAGACTCTTGTTTGGCATGAATAGATGAAACAATAGTTTGTTTCCTGTGTTTCCCTTTATAGAGTTATGAAGTGATCACCTTTAATATAGAATTTTAAGAATGCAATGTTTAAATGTGCTTTTAAAGAGCAACTGCAACTTGTTTTATAAGAAGGTTTTGTGATAGCACTTCCTGATGGCTTTTGTAGCTTTAGAACAGCTGAAAAAGTATTTTCTGTGAAGTAAAAGCTTCATGTGTTTGGAAAACACTGACTACACATAGAAGGTAAAAAGTAAAATTGATTATAGTTGTGAATACTATTAAAGGACATAAAATACACTTAAAAATAAAGTAACCACTCTATGCTGTGGTTAAAAAGTAGATGCTCTGCACTTTGTTCCCAACTCAACTGTTTCATGTGTGATGGTTTATCTAGCTACTTGACAAAGGCATTGCTGTAACAGAAGTGAAACAAAAAGTGTGCTCCTATTTTTTGTAAAACTTTCCATCTGGGTTGAAGAATCTGTGAGCATCAACCATTCTTCCTTTACTTCTGTAGTGACTTCAGCACTGTTCCTGTGAAGGTGTAAACCAGTCCTCCTTGGTTTTTAGCTTACTCTCTATGCCCAGCTTGCAGTTTTAGAGTGTTTTGAGTCTTTAGAGTTTTTGAGTCTTTCTCATCTTAAGCTGTGCATCTTCTACTGAAGCTCCCAATGATTTGTGTGACTTTTATAATCAGCTGCTTGAGTTGGGAGTAAGTTCTGTAATGATCATTAAGGAATTTAGATTGGAAGGCACCTTGGGAGTACCCCAAGGCAAGGTTGACCTAATATTGAAAGCAGAATTCAATTGGGGAAGGTCCTGAGCAATTTACCTTATGTGAAAATGTTCCACTTTCTTTAATGAAAAAAGCTTGTTCTTCTTCTTGACTTCTGTGTTATTCTTGATGTGAGGTGTTTTGGTTTTAATTCTTAAAACCTTAACACCCTTCTAGGAAGGGTGAAGGAATCTTATGTGGCATTTGATCTTATGGGTAAGAAGGGGGAACACTTCTCTACTGTTAGTTACAGAGGACTGTGCTAACGAAGGACTGTTACTGGGATATTTTGTGTGAGGACAATGTCACATTTAAAAAAAAGAAAAAAGTACAGAGAAATTTGAAGGGGAGGGGGAAAGTAATTTTCTTTAACGTGTAACAGAAATTCCATGGGTATACTCCTGAACCCAGTTATCTGTTAAGTACATATCAGGTGTAACCTGATATCACATATAATTACCAGATAATGGAAGGAAGCAGTTTCCTTTTTCTAGAGCACATCTAATGATTTTGGACATGTAATTCATGGTGTATTTTCTGAATTGACAGTTCCTACCCTACTTTGCCTGTTTTAAAGGTATCCTATATTTGATACCATAATTGTACTCTCGCTTTTGTGCTCTCAAAATACTAAAATGTGATATGAGGTAGAAATTGACAGTTACCGGGTGGTATGAATGAATTTTCTATAATAACCTAACTCTTTGGCATAACATTGCTAAACTTTCCCCTGATATTTGTATTGCTGTACCTATCACTATCAGTGTATGCAACATTTAGTAGTAAACCCATGCCTCATTTGATTACCCCCCTCTCTCTTTTCTCCCTCATATTTAAAGAAGTTTATATGGTCTCAGGGAAGCAAAAGCAGGTGTCATTAGGGTTACAGTTTTATGTATCTCTTTAATATCTTTCTGAATTTGGACAGCTAGAGGCAAATTGAGGACTAGAACGCAAGACTCGGTTCTTGGGGAAATACTAATTTTGCTGTAGCTTCCCTTGTGCTCATCAGCAAGCTTGACATCAGTCTGTTGTGTTTCACAGGCTGCACACAAAGTGGGGAGCTTCGTGTCAGGGCTTGTCTGTAAGTAGTAGTGGAATATAACTTTAATACACCAGATCAGATCTCCTGCTCGTTTTATCAAAAATGCAGCCTTCTTTCTGAGAAAGTGGTTTGAAGTATTTGTTACCTGATAGCAAAATAAATACTTGGATGTGAGTTGAAGTGCTATAGCTCAGAACAGTGGTTTCCAGAGTCTTTATTCAAGATGACCTACCTGGCTTGTTGTGATCAGAATTTCATGGCCAGTTCTGCTTTTTTATCAAATGAACTGTTCAGTGTTCTTGGGAGGAGGATAGGACATGTCTACTCAGGTATGCAATCCTCAGCACTTGTGAGGTATGTAATTAATTATGTTAATACAACTGCTTATTGGCTTAACTTTGTTTAGATGCATCACAGTAGTGACGAAGATACTTCATTGAGCTTAGAAATAAACTGCTTTTCTTTGGGCCTTATTCTGTTAGCTTGTTACAGAATTTTATTTAGCTGACTTTACAGAGGTGTCAGTTTGCTTCACTGAAGCAGTATCTGATCTGAAAACCTCATGAATATGTAGGTTTGGAGTTGTCTGATTACAGAGGGCCTGTTATTGGATCATGCAGTACTTAAAAACTTAACTGCCTCGCTTCCTTTTTCTCCCACTCTTGAAGAGACATAAGGAAGTAATTTTGTACATTAGTAGTGTACCCCATTTATTAAACAGAGCAGCCGTAGTGCTAGATCTAATGGTTTCGGAAGTTTTGGTCTGGTAAATGCTGACTTGCTATTGCAGCCTGTCACGTGGTTTATTACTAAATTGTACACAAAGTGTGGTTATGTAATCTTGAGCACTTTAGCCTTCAGTTTTCACTAGAAGTTTTCAGCTGTTCTAGTGAATTCATAACACTGTCTTATTTAAACATGCACAGTTTAAAGAGATAATAAGGGTGTTCTTAAAAGCATTTAAGCCCATCTGAAATGCTTCCTGACTAGGAACTCACTACAACTGTCACTAGTTAAATGTGCTGCAATTTAACCTTGAACCTATTATGCTAGGGAAATGATATGTAAATGCCTCAGTTAAGAGAACAAGAAACTGAATGAAATTATACAATTCTGAAATCTTTTTAATGGTTCTCTTTCTGTAAGATTTTGTCAGAGGTTTTCTGAAACTCTCTGACTTTCCTCCTGAGAAAGTCTGAGCTACTGATTATAATGGAGCACAATCTTTCAGGGTAATGTAGTGCAGGTAACTATTACTTCAGAAAAATGGAGTTAATGAGAAATAATCCAGCTTGATGAAGACTGTCATTTGGCAAATAGACAAGCCTTGCCTTGGCAAAACCTCAATTAAGTAAGAAGCTTTTTATTCTCTAAGAATAGCGTCTTTCATGTTTCACCTTTCAGTAAACAGATCTGGATTGAGAATACTACACTTGACTGGTTAACTTGGCTTTCTTACAGTTTTATCAAAGCAACTTTTAATGTCCTTTTTTATTGTTGAGTAGCTTTCTCAAACAAAATTAAAATCTAAATAATGTGAAAAAGGAATCTCTACTGGTAAATTGTAATGGCAACCTTCATAAATCATAACGGTTTTATTCAGTCATTTGCTCTCACTTTGGATCTCTTGTATAAACAGCCTTTGCAGATCTAATCTCTGACATCATCTAGGCTGTAAAAGGAGTTAATATGATAGTCTCTGTGTATCCTATGCTTTACACTAAAGCTTTCTTTCAAGCTATGGCATGTTACTTGCCCATTTCACAGCAATCTTCACGTTAGCTACTTTGGTTATGCAGCAATAGAATAAGACTTTCAGATGCTTAGCTACAACAAAATTCAGTTAGTACTGTTTCCTCCACTGCATGTGTATATGCAAAGAAGCAGTTTCCTGTGAGAAGAGTAAGGGTTAGCTTGCCTGGTTTTGCTTTGGCTAAATGCTTCTTTCTGTTCTTCAGTAACAGTACTTGCATAAGAAACCTGAACTTCTCCATCGTTCTGTGGTTTATATCATTTGAAAGGAAACAGAAAACTTTAAGTTAAACTTGTTCCAACAATCAGAGCTGTTGCTTCACAGAGAACAGGGGCTTCCTTGTTCACTCCAGTAACTTTTGAAGACTTGACCTTGACAGTTGGATGACCAAGACAACCTAGTAAACTGAAGTCCAAAGTAAAAAAAAAAAAAAAAAAAAGGAAATTTCCCAACTTCTAACTTCTATCAATGTGAATGTAAATACAGAGGAGAAAAACTTCTGTATGTTGAATTCTTACAGGTGGGTATTAAGAGTAATGCTCCAGCTTTATTTCGTTTTCCATCTTAAAATGAGAAATTTTAATTTCACTTCAGAAATTAAATCAGAAGATCTAACTGAGAGTGTCAATTTTCCTTCAGGCACAAACTTCTGACATAATTTCACATTTGATACTTGTAAAGTGCTATCCCTTAACACCTGTGGTATGCTTTTCAGTCCAGCAGTTTCATAAATTTTATACCTACGCATTGGTCTCTGCATACCACATTGGTCTTTGCTTTTTCATAGGTAAAAGATAAAAGCATTTGCCAGTAGTATTGAGCATTTTTTCCTCTCTTCTTCCCCCCCCCCAGTAAAAGGGTACCAGGATAAACCAGAACTGTTTTCTAGGTCCCAGTTTTATATTGGGCAGGAGTGTAGCTTGGTACAGAAAAGACCATTTGAGGATCTTGACCTCTGTTACAATGACTTTCTTTCCGAAGAGACTAGGCTTCTAGCAGGACCTGAAGATTCATCCAGAGGGAAGCTTTTTGTGAAGAACCTCTTCATAATTTATTTTTGATGTCAAGGAGCATTGCATTAAAAAG